GAGAACAGCTCCACATTTTTAATTGTATATGAAAATTTGTTAACAAAGAGGGACTAAGGGAAAGAAGGATGGATGGAAGGAAGGAATTTTTGAAAGGATTTTGTACAAATAGCGAGGAATAGCTAGTGGACATAGAACATGCATCCTGATACCTGGCACTTTTTACTACAGCTTTTCAACCTCTGTTACAAAGCTTAAAAAAGCCCCTTGAATGGTAATTGTGAGAGATGAATTGAAAGACATCCTTTGTGGTCTGATTCTAGAAGGTATATTTGAAATGGGAAAACCAAATTATACTTCTGACTTTCTAGATGCAAACATTTTGGAAGATCCAGCTTCATGTGTGTAAGTGTTTGAATTAATCACTGAAACTAATTAGAAAATTTCATATGAAGTCCACTCATTTATTTAATTCCAGCATAAATAGATAGGCTCTTATTATGTCCATTCTTTCACAGGGTTTTGCTAGAATGGGTTCGTCAATAGGGTGTGAGAAAAGTCAGGACTGGGGATCTGCTGGATTTGGAGGTGTATTTAAGGTGGAGTGGATCCGAAAAGAAAGCATTCCTTTTCAGTTTGCTCATCATTTGCTCAACCCTTGGAATGACAACAAGAAAGTACAAATAAGCAGAGATGGCCAGGTAGTTCTTCTCTTATAAAGCCTTCTTTACTTGTAGAACTGTGTTTTCTTCATTAGCTTGTTCAGCCTTGAACTCAACTGTGCTCATGTATGTATTAATCTGAATCACAGTTTCTTGGTGCAAATTGTAGCTGCTGCTAATGCAGAATTATCTTGCAGTAGTAGATTTATTAAAATCAAACCAGTTTCATGCTTAATGTTGTTAGAAAAAAATATATTTAAAGCTGCATTTTTCCAAAATAAATTATGTGTTGTTGGTGTTTTATTTTTAATTTCTGGAGGTTTGTTTCTGTTTGATTCAGATGTCTTCCCTGAGATAAAATAATCTGTCATAGCCAAATAGTTGTTCATAAGAGGTTTGCATTTTCAGTAAAGCCTCAAGAGAATCTTGATATTTGAGGCAGAATAAGGCTTAGTACTGTTCTCCAATTTATTAAAGCTAGATGCAACTACAAAAAGCCAGAAAAGAATTTGCAGAAGAATTCTCTGTGTCAGTTTTTGCATTCTCCTCAGTCCCCTCCCAAAACATCTCCTTGATACAAGATTCTGGTGCTAAACTTTTTGTATTGTCTTCTCACTACTTCCCCAAAACCTCTTCAGTTTTAAGAATAAGGAAAAGAACATACTGTAAGAACAAGGAAAGGAACATAGCACATGTTGAAGTTGACAGTGCTTCTCCTCTAGGTGGCTCTTAAGATGTAAAGAATCAGAACAATATCAAAAATAAGTGATTTATATTAATGTCTATGATTCCAGGAAGAGCCACTGCATTATCTGTAACCTGCCTTTCCACATTCTCCATTGCATTTAATGGAATTAAACCTAAAAGATGTGGAGAATAATGATCTTTAGTTAATAAGGAAGTGACCTGTGGAAAGTAGAAATTGTATGGTGTGTCTGTTCTAGTGATGGTATCTTCATTACAAATTCTTTTTTGAGAACTGACATCTTGCCTGAAACAAAAAAACCCAAGCAACTGGTAGGCGAAGATTGCTTATGAAATTTTCTAATCACCTGTTGATCCCTTGTAGGGATAGTTCTAATATAAGTCAGAATAGCAAAAGTAACAGTTATTTTGGAAAGACCACCAGCAACCTTTTCCAAGGATTTTGTAATAGATAGTTCTTACATGCACAATGGCAGCAGTGCTAATAATTTTTGTAATTTCCCGATTGCTTCTAGGAGCTGGAACCACAAGTTGGAGAGCAGTTGCTGCAGCTTTGGAACCAAATTCCTTTGGAATGAAAAAACTCAACTAATTAAGCATGTCAATGAGATAGAGGTAGTTATTGTTTAGTGAATTGCATTTTGGTTTAATGGTAGAGTAGAAGGTATCAACATATGCCATATCATTGCAGTACTGTCATTTGTAGCTTGTGGAAGAACAGGTACACAGAGAACTGTTTTCTTCCTTTTGATTTTTTTTCTAGCTGACACTGTTGAAACATCAGCTCTAACCACTAGAACCAGCAGCATGCCTACAATACCAAGATAAGGAAGAAGGTGGCACAACAAAATAACTCCTGAAGCTCTTAGTCATGCTAGCTCTTAGCTAGCAGTGGAAAAAAAAAGAGACTTATGTTTGTTTCAGTGTTTCCTTGTGTAAAAAATGTCTGTAAGGTTATCCACAAGTCTTTTTTTGACTGAATTCTTTTTTCTACAGTAGTGTGCAGATATTTGAAAATGTGGTAAAGTTCAAAACTGAGTTTAAAGCAATGCACCACATGTAAGTTGTTTGTGGGTTTAAAAGAGCACAGCAGACAGTTAACATTTAAAGCATTCTCAATCCAGTAAGTGTATGAAAGAAACCAGTTTAATGTTAATTAATAATTCTTGCAGTGTGATTAAAATAAATGAATTGAAAATAGACGTATCCAAATATTTTGGGAGATGCTGTAATTGTTTGGTGAACTTCTGTATGCACAGTACAAGAGAGAAGGATATAGTCAATTACAAACAATTAGACAGCTGGAGAACGCTAGTTTTTGAATTCTAGTTTAAATACAGAGGGGAGAGACACATAAGACTTTTTTGAGTGTGGATTGGTCCAGTGGTATTTCCGGTTTCAATTTTTTTGCCCATAAAAATACTCACATTTTGACAAGCTTAAACAGTCTTTCAAAGGCCTGTGGCCAAATGGTATTCTAATAATTCACTAACTTGAGCATTGTTAAAAGATTTCTACTTCTTTTATAAAAAATAAAAAGTAATTACCGTATAACTTGCTTAATCTTTCAATGTAGTTTTCAATGTTTCTTTCTATAGCTTGTCTTTCAAGTTCATTTCTTTCTTCTGCACTACTGTTTTGGTTTATTGGGCTTTTCCTTAGTCATTAACATACTGAAATGTAAGACCGGTACAAATTCAGTCTGCTCACTCATTCTTAGGTTAAACTGAGAGTTTTTTCTGCTTCTGAGCTTCCTCTTAGTTTCTCATGTCCTCTCAGGATGTTCTCATAGTTCAGACTATCCTATGTGTTCACTAACTCTGGCACAGCATCACTAGAAATTTAAGTCAGACCTGAAACAGGTTACTGCAGGACCTGGTGAAGTCAATAAAAAAGCTGCTAAGGATATGAATGGCTGTGAAAGAGAAGAAGACAAAAAAGGTAGCCAAAGATTTAAAAGAAAAGGGATCTTTAGGCATTAAAAAAACAAACAAACAAATATATATATATGTATATATAAATGTTTTTATCTTGAATCTAGAACTGAAGACTCATTTACACCAAGTAGTGTTCTTTAAAATCTATCTTTTTTTTTTTTTTTCCTTGGGAGACATTTATTACTAGTTTAGCACTCTAATTTATATAAAAATAGTAAAGATAACCTACAAGAACCCTGCTCTTGGAAAACGGTCAGATTTTTGACATGTTGCTACCTCTTTCTGTTAATTAAGATGCAGTCATTTCATAAACAGGCCTGGGACATGCTTGTCATGTCCTGTGACTGCTACCCTTTCTCTCCACACGATCAAAGTGGTCATTGTTGTTCATTAACATGGCATTTGCAGCAATCCTGATTACAAGGACCTTAAGAGGTAAACTTATTTCTTTGTAAGAGGAGAAGCTGAAATGTGTCTTCTTTTCCCTAGATCTGAAACTGATGGAAAGAGGGCGAAAATCTGTACTAAAATGTTCAGCTTCTCAGTGTTCTGATTGAACAAGGTACTCGGCATAAACTGGATTTTGTGGACTTGGTGCATTTCTCTATCCTTCAGCTTTTTTCCTTTTTTTAACTGTTTTCATGCTGTTAAATAACCTATATGAAGAGCTGTGTAATGAAACAGGAGATAAAATCTGTAGGGAGTGCTGGGCTCCAGGATGGTTTTGATGAATGGAGACGAGAGATCTCTGAAGGCTGCTCTTAGAATATAAGGTTTATTAGGGATGGTGAAAGGTCTTGCTTGGAGCTGCCAGACGCAGCACGTGGCAAGGCCTGAGGGGATGGGGGAGGGGAGAGACAAGGGGTAGAGAGGATGCTCTAGGAGAGAGTGGAAGTTCCAAGAGAGCGGGGATTCCAAGAGAGGAGAAGTTCCAAGAGAGGAGAAGATCCAAGAGGGGGGAGGTTCTAAGAGAGCGTCTGGCCCCTCTGAGACCCCTTATCAGGGGGCTTCACGGTGGGCTGGAACAAGACTTGGGCCAATGGGGTCACAGACACTTGATGCTTCCAGGGTAGGGTTACAGGTGTGGGATGAACCATATATTTTGGGGGTTGAGATGGAACAGTCCATTTGACTTTTGGACCCATCTGTAGGTAAGGGTATTGTGCAGCCAGTGGGGGGGATTGTTTTCATCCTGGCTGAATTTTTTGCCAGGCAATTATATTTTTCCATCCTTCCCAACATCTCCCCCATTCTGTTGAACAACTTGAGGTACTAAATATTGACTTAACCACTATTTTCTGCACACTCTGAGGTATACAGGGTATTGCTACTAAAACTACACCTATTACTATTGGAACAATCAAGCTTACTTTACAGAGTCCCTTTAGCTAAGGTGCAAAGCTCAAACCATCAAATAAACTGTTCAGCTAAGATGGATCATCCGTTATCAAATAACTGATTATAGTAGAGGTGTCATTTACTTCTTTACTGAGCCAACATCCTAACTTGTTTGACTGCTTTAGGGTAATGGAAGATCTTTACTGAGGTAGCATTATCAAAACCTTCTGGAAAAGGTCCTCTAATAAAACAGGTTGAAAAAGGTTTGTCAGGGCTTGTGTCAGATAGACAGATAGTATCAGAGCCTGCAGACTTGGCTAAAGCAACCTAGGCATTTGTCTTTGGTTGACTTACAGGTAAAACTTCAATACAAAAACTAAAACGAAAGAACAAAAGCAACATGCACACACGCAAGCAGTAAAACTCCATTCTTTTCTCAAGCTTTTTCTGGCAAATAATTTTGTCTTGATGACTCTGCGCAGTTCAGGTTTGGATGCTTGCTTCTTGGCTTGTACTTGCACAAGTATCACCTGGTGTGGGGGTGCCAGCGGATTTCGGTGCGTGGTAGGGCTTCACTTGAGTCCTTCACCTGTGAAAACACAAGCAAAACCTCCCCCCATGTTATAATATTGTGTGGTCCTTCTATTTGTCCTGAATCATAGATTTTGATTAAAACTGGGGGGTGCCCCTTTATTTTTGCTTTTTTGTTGTTCAGAAAATGTCTGTAAAGCGGGGGGTCAGGCTCTCCTGCAGAGCTATTTAAAAAATTGTAAACATACAAAGCCTTACTCAACCTCATTTGAGGTGTAGCCTGATCTAATCCCCCTTTCTGTTGATTGAAAATACGTTTTAGGGTTTGATATGTTCTTTCTATGGTACTTTTCAACAGTTGTTTAAAATAGGAAGAGGAGATACCACCGTCATTTATTGCTTTTCGCAATTCTTTCAAGTCCTGGGAAGGGATAACTGTCCATGCTCTAGGATTACTGGGTTGCTGGCTGGATACCACAGGCATGGTTTGAGGATTCAGACTGTCCTCTTTGTGACTACCACATCTGATTCTATGCTAGTCTGTCTGTTGGAGACTATCAACACCTTTCTGGGAATTTTGTAAAACTGGGATAAGAGGGTCCTTTATTTGTCAAAGCGGCTGCCACATTCCATCCTTCTCCCTCTCGCTGCACAGTTCCTGTGCCAAGCTGTGGTGAGGTACTGCTTGGACCGAGTGCAGGAACTGCTGGTAGCTGAGGAAGAGGAGCAGGAGGAGTGAAGCCTGTCAGCAGACGCACATGGAAAGAACCTGCATGTGCTGCACGTGTGGAAGGATATCCTGGAGCTTTGCTTGCAGATGTAGAATGTAGATCCGGCAGAGGAAGGGTCGCAGAGGAATATGCATAGGATGCTGTAGAATCGTGTTGTGGTGCTGCAGGCAGACTCGTTGGAGGGTGGAGGGCGGCTGGAGGCTGTGGTCGTGCAGGAGCTGCTGGTAGCTGCTGGGCTGGGGTTTCCAGAAGCTGCGAAGGAGGCGGTGTAGAGAGGACTATTTGTGATGAGGCTGTAACAGGATCTGGCTATGCGGATGGATATGGTGGTAGAGTTAGAAAACCCGGAAACCCGGAAGTGCTGGCGGCAGTGGTGGCGGCAGTGGTGGCGGCAGTGGCTGAGGGACCGCAGCCAGGACCGTGGGCTGTGGTGCTGCCGTGGGGTGGGGGGGTGGGAACGTTGGCTGGGCGTAGACCGCGGCATGGGATGCGTGGGAAGCGGGAGGCTGCATCAGAGGCGCGGCGGGGGCGGCGTGGGGCAGCTGGCCTGGGGGTAGTGCAAACAGTGCATACGCGGGGCGTGTCACGAGGTCCGCATGGCGAGGGATGATGGCAGCCGATTCCACTGCGCGGCCGGAGGGCCCGGGCACAAAGACCGGGGCTGCGGGAGAGAACTGCTGCAAGTCCGCGGGTGCAGGGGGCGGCAGGGGCGTGGCACGGAGCCCCAGAGCGTCTCCTCGCAGCTGGGGGGGCTCCGGCTGGGGCAGCGCTGCAGGGGCTCTGGCCAGGGACCGCCACGGAGAGAGGACTGGGGGCCTGGTCGCTTGGTTCCGTGGCGCGAGTGGCGCTGCTCCCCAGTCCCCAGGCACGGCGGCCTGGTCTGTCACTGGCACAGGCGTCTCGCCGGCTGTGGCACCCACGGGAGGCAGCGGCGGCGGGCCGCTCGTGGCGACGGCTGTTTGCAGCGCCTGCAAAATCGTAGCCGCTTGGCTTTGCAAGAAGTCGGCGACGGTGGTGACCACAGTCGCGAAAGACGCCGCTGAGGGGGCGGGCGCGGTCAGAGAGCGGGGGGAGGGGGGGACAACGCCGAGCGGCATGGCAGGGGAGAAGGGGGCATGGCAGGGAGGGACGGCAGCAGGGGGTGGGGCGGCCGCGAGGGCGGGAGCCGCGAGGGCCCGCGCCGAGTGCCGCGGGCAGGGAGACGGGGGCGAGCCCTGTTCGACACTCGATGCTGCGTGGGCAAGGTCGTCAGAAACCGCACGAGGCGGCAAGGCGGCTGCCGCCGTCTTCTGTGAAGCAAACAAGTCGGCCAAGGTTCTGTACGCCGGGAGCAACTCACAAGTGTCGGGATCCCGGCGTGAAATATCATTAAAAAGTCTATTTCCAACTGGGTCCCAAAAGTCTCTAGTAAAAACACCTGAACGATCGGTATTCGGGAAATTAAGCAGAATCCGTTCTAGAAGGTTTTTTAACTCTTTCTTAGACAAAGTACTCTTATAGCTACGTAAGAGATGGTTAAGTTGCTTATAGAGATCTCGATCAGGGGCAGAGTGGGATTGTCCCATTTTTAAACCAGTGTAGCTCACCTCAATGTCGCAGAAGCAGGGTCCTGTGTCAAGTTCCGATGTACACCAGTTGGCACTCAGGACTCTGTGGGAGGTCCCCTCAGAGCTCCGGTTTCAGGCATCACTCAAAAACGGCTTTCCGTGCTCGGGACCTCCAGACTACCCCTCAGAGCTCGAGCGTGGGCAGTGCAAAGCAGTGCTTGCCTGTGCTCTCTGCACGTGGCAGTGTGCCACGGCAAGGCTCCTCACAGAGCTCCAGATCGCCGCCGCTCAGCAGCGGTCACCTGTGCTCGAGGATCAGCAGGCACAAATCCTCCAAGGGCTCCGAAAACTCCTACTTGGTAAGGAGTCGTGGGGCTGAGGATTGCCTCGGCAGTTTTTAAAGAGCTCCGGCTTCGATGTTGCCTAGCAATGAAATGCCTTGCTCACGACACTGATGAGGAGGGAACAATTGGTTATTTAGTTACCATCCATGGAAAATTCTCCTACAAGTAGAAGAGCTGGAGAGGCATCCAAACAGGTGTGGGTGCAGGTCAGCGTGGGTTCGTATTCCTCGTTGGGCGCCAGTCTGTAAGGAACGCTGTTCTCCAGGATGGTTTTGATGAATGGAGACGAGAGATCTCTGAAGGCTGCTCTTAGAATATAAGGTTTATTAGGGATGGTGAAAGGTCTTGCTTGGAGCTGCCAGACGCAGCACGTGGCAAGGCCTGAGGTGATGGGGGAGGGGAGAGACAAGGGGTGGAGAGAGGATGCTCTAGGAGAGGGTGGAAGTTCCAAGGGAGTGGGGATTCCAAGAGGGGAGAAGTTCCAAGAGAGGAGAAGATCCAAGAGGGGGGAGGTTCTAAGAGGGAGGAAGATCTAAGAGAGCGTCTGACCCCTCTGAGACCCCTTATCAGGGGGCTTCAAGGTGGGCTGGAACAAGACTTGGGCCAATGGGGTCACAGACACTTGATGCTTCCAGGGTAGGGTTACAGGTGTGGGATGAACCATATATTTTGGGGGTTGAGATGGAACAGTCCATTTGACTTTTGGACCCATCTGTAGGTAAGGGTATTGTGCAGCCAGTGGGGGGGATTGTTTTCATCCTGGCTGAATTTTTTGCCAGGCAATTATGTTTATCCATTCTTCCCAACAAAAATCTTTTGTCTTGATCTTACCTGAAGTGGCTCTGCAGTTATTCTGCAGTCTCCTGGAGCATTCCTGGTGTCCGAGGGAAAACTGGGATTTATCTCTTTACAGTTTAAGGGAACCATTAATGTTTGGGTTTGGTTCACATCTACTGGTGGAGAGAAGGTGCTGAGTAACAGAGGTAAAACAAAATAGTATCTCTGATTTTGGAAGATCATAAGGACCTCCTTGCTTTAATTTCAAGTGAGGATAAGTACAGCATGGAGCTAAGATCCAGATCCAAGCTGGAGAGAAGCTGAGTTTCACAATGGTTCCTGCTTGTTGTGTACATTAAAATAGGTGTCTCTGTCTTTCCTTTCCTTGCCTGTAGTCTGTGACTCCTACCGCAGCTGGGCTTTTATACTCTGTTTCGCTGGACTACAGGTAATTAGTACCAAATTCAGAAGGGGTGAAGCTGGCTGATACACTGCTTCTGGAGGTCTTAAATTAGAGGAAAAAATCAGCTGTCTACCATTTGGTGGTGATCCAAGGCCTAAGTGAAGTGTAATGTGAGAAGTGGCCTACTGTGTCAGGCAAGACCTTGTCAGAGAGGTTGAAAGCTTAAAAAATACCTTCTAAAAGTTCCTCGGGATTGTATCAGGTGTAGAAAAGGGTGCCAGATCCAACTGGGAAGTAATGTCTGGGAGGTAGTCAAAATGGTTAGATCCTGGTAGTTTCCTGTGAGGAATATTTTCTGTGATACAGCTCCAGTATTTGATGTATGTCTCCTGGGATGCACAACAGCCTACCTGGCTGCTGGCCTTCAGCACGTGAGAAAGCTCTGTCTGGGAGATAACACTCAGATTCTTCTCATTCTTCTCAGGGCCTGGCAGATGTGTCCTGCTGATGTTCTCCTCCACGCTGAGCAAAGGCAGTTCTGGGTCCTTCTTGCCCAGGGGAACTGCCACAGGCATGCTGTGTGCATAATCCTGTGTGGCAGCGGACTGCTGGCTGGGCCTTTGGATCCCAGTGGAGACCACACGGGAGACTCGTACAGGAATATGGCTCCTGTGCACTGTCTATGTGCCCTGGGATAGATGTGCAGCAGTGCAGCCCCCAAGCTCTCAGAGCTTGTGGCTCTTCCCTGCTCACTGCGGTTGCCCCAACAGCTGGGGACTGTGTTCCCCTCCGCTGGTATCTCTGTGGTCCTCTCCTGCAGGACTGGTCCAGGAGTTGCCCAAAAATGGGAGGAAGAAAACTTCTTGAGACAGAACTTAAATTAGTGTGTCCATGGTGAAACCACCCCCTTGTGAATCTCCCTTTATGGAGAAGAGAGCATCCAAGACTTGTAAATGTTTGTGATCAAAAGGAGCTGCAAAAGTGACAGAGTCTGTAAAACCTCACCAAGTTTTATTAGTAACTTACACACTTGGCATGTAAATTGCTGTATTAGTTCATACCCTACCCTATATACACAAGGCAGAGGGTTTGGGAAAAATGGCAGGGTGAAAGGGAAGGGAGAAAAGAAAACATGAATTAAATGGAAGGAAAGAGAAAGGGGGGGAAAAAGTGCATGAGAGACCACTAGTCCTGGTTCTAAACAACACACTTGGCATGGAAATTGCTATGTCAGTCCCTAGCCTACCCTATATACACATCACACAGGGTTTGGGAGAAAGGGGTATGGTGAAAGAGATGGGAGAGAAAGAGAGGTGAGTTAAAGAGAGGGAGGGAGAGAGAAAGAAAATGGGAGAGAAAAGGAGATCAGCAGTACTGGTTCCTGCATCAATCCAGATGATGAGAGGTCATTCGTGGTTCCATTGTTGATGCAGATGATGAGATAGATGTCCACGGTTGTGGGAGCACTGCCCACGATGAGGTTCCTTTTTATGGGTGAGTTTTCCTGGCTTGGAAGCCAGGTTTCTTGCTTTGTATGCCAATTAGTTGTCATGCACAGTCCATTTTTTCAGACCTTTCTGGAAGTCAGAGGTCAGAGCCTCTGGGGTCAGAGGCTTTGTGGTAGGTTTGTGCATGGTCATGACTCTGCTCTGCAGCCCCTGCTTACTTCTTGGCTTCATTCCTGCCCGTTTGCTGTAGTGCATTGTGTTTACCTCCAGTGACTAGAACAAGGATGTTTGTCCCAGAGGAGTGGTGTCCTACCTCTACATGGCCCCCTTCTCCAGTCACAACTTGTTCTTTCTCATGTGTGGTTATTACCAACAGTGCTGGGTTCCTCCCAAAAGCTCTCGCATGTTTTTTCCAGGAGTCCTTGGCTGCTTCCACAGCCTTGCAGCTATCAGTGTTTGAGACACAAATGCTCCAGAATGGGGCCTGGAACTGAGCTGTATTGACAGGAATAAATCCTTCCAATGCACTTCTAAGCAAAAGAATTTGGGCAAATAAGCTTTAGCAGGCATTTAAAGAGGCAAAACTTTTATGAATATTCTGAAATTAACTTCCTGAAAAGAGACGATTTTGTTTAGGTGATTCTTTCGTGGTTAAACTAACTGCAATGTAGTTTCATTGTCTGAATACTTTCTTGCTTTTTGCACAGATTTGTGTGGCTTCTCTGTGTTAGTTATAGCTGTATTCATAGTTTGAACAAGCTGAAAACTCCAGGTGTGTCCACCTTTGAGAAATGTTCTAGGGAACAGTTCAATGTAGCTGGCCTTTAAATGTGAGTTATCTTTTACTTACATTTAGCTCAACGTAGCAATGGCATTTAATTTTACATGTCTCTGAATACCTCTTCAAAAATCTGGTATGTTTTTTTTTTTTTTGATATTTAGAAAATATATACTGAATTAGTCTTTATTTTGTATTTCTGCCTTATAAAATGACTTCAAAGATGAACAGAGTATAACTGGAGTGGTGGTATGATCTCACAGAAAGAAGCACTTTGTGATTACAGTCCTAAGCTATTTCTTTGGGAGAAGCTTATCTACAAATGAGACCTCCATTTTGATTCTTAGGTATATCAGAGCCAAAAAAATTCTGAAGAAACATATCCATTGGACTGTATGAGATACTGGTAAATATGGGGTTTAATTCTATGATATGTACTAGCCTAGTTTTCAGATATAACTGTAATCAAGATGCTGTTTCCACTTAATAGTTCTCACTACTGGGAGGGTTTTCCTGAAAACATCTGAATTTCCTCTTTCTTAATATTTTACATGTAAATTTAATTCTAATTTTATCTGCTATTAACTAAATAAATTGATCTGAAATAGTGTTGACTAAAAGGATAAATTTTCTTACCTAAATAATATTGTTACTTAATTCTTAATCAGTTAACCAGTCTCTAAAAATCTTCTTACATTTCTTTAGAACATCCTATTTAGTCTTCCTTGGAACTGTTCCCAGTGTAAATAAAAAAAGGATTTTTCCTCACTTAAATTTTCTTTTTCTCTTCCCATTAGCCTTCCGTTTTCAGGTTCTGATCAGCTTTCTGGAAGCTCCTGTAAGCACACGTGATCACTAGGTGGTGATGTTCTAACAGAGAAAAGCTTAAAATCTGGTAACTACAGATCCATGAATGAAGGATGAAAAAGGCCAGAAAATGTAGAGATTACAATTATTCAGATAATTTTTTCTTTAAATTCTTTAAAATTTGTAAGTTTGGGGGGGAAGCCTCTTTTCTGATTGATTTATTTCAAATTTATGTATTATTTGTTATAGACCTTAACTTGAGTAATGGCTCTGTACATGAATAATTGCATCTTCCATCACCAGGCAGTTAACACTGCTGCTGTAAATATCTTGGGGAAGTTGGTGGCACCTGATACCACATTTTTGAATCTGTAGTTTAAAAATATGCCTGGAGTTGATATACGAAAGGGAGTAAATAAGGTCCTGAGGTTGGCCTGTAATTATGAGGCATTTCTGCTTTCATGAATCTATTTGCTTTGTTTTATCTTCTCCTAATATATAAGGAGGTAAAAAAGGGTTCCTTAAAACCAGGATAGTCCTCCCTTAAATAGTAGGATAGTTGTTTCTTATGTTACAGGCAATAGTTTGCAGAGTAATTGAACTTTCGGAAGAATAATCTTTTCATAATTTTGAAACAGATGTTAAAACCTCTTCCATTTTCCCCCAAATACCCAATTTCTTGTTATCTCCCAAAATCTTGACCAGATGGGTAGAATTTGCCTTTCCAAAATATAATAGATGTCTTGGTCTTTACTTCTATATGAAAAAGAAGCAGAAAATACATATTTAGTTCTTTTATCTTTGGCAGTTGCTGCTTGCAGCTTATATTATGAAACTTGCAAGAATACAGAGCACCTGTATGCTAAAATAAGTGAATTCAGTCCTATCTGCCTTTTGATATGTGCTTTTCTGTTGCATGACTCTCCTTTTCCAGCAAATACAAATACTTTCTTTAGTGTGACTACCATTCCTACTTCTGCAAAGTTGTTCATCTTTGCAATCTCCTTAATGTAGATTAATAAAGAGCAGTAACACTGGAAGCTACGAAATAATATAAGAATGTTCTGGATAGTCAGCCTTGCTCTTTTGGGTTATCAATAATTTTAACCTATAAGCACAGTATTTTAAACTGGATAGGCACAAGGCAAAGGAATAGTCTCCTTAGTCCACAGCAACCTGTTTTAGGAGTTACTACATGTCTTTGAGAATTGTGCATGTTTGAAATGGCAACCAGAATTTTCCACCCAGATCCTATTCCTGCCAATTGTTTCTGAGGTCTCATTAAATAAAAATAAGAATTTAATTTTCCTCCCTGTAGTTTCCTCCCCTCACGCAGCCCCCAAAGATTCCGACTAGCTCAGAGATAAGGGGCTGTGACAGGAGGAATATCAGGAGAGGGGTATAGGTATTCAAAAGAGGCTCTCACCCCAGGATATAGCTGGTACAGCTCTCTTTATTCTGTGATGTCCATGTGGAGAGCGGGGCAAAAAGAGAGAGAACAGGAAATGTCAGGGGGTCTATATAGGCTTTGGACAGGGTGGGTTTTCCGGGCTCTCCGCTAACCCCATTGGGGCAGAAAGGAGGGGTCCAGGGGTTATCTTGATCAGAGTCACAGGATCCTGGGGGAAGGGGAAACAGAATGCCCATGAGCTCACTGTAACACCTCCCTTACCTCCTCCCCTAAGCATTTTTAAGGGCAGTGAAAAACAAATGCCCAAAGAACTTATGGCTACCCACCAACCTCATACACAACACAGTCAGTTGTGAAATTGAAATTGCCTCTCCAACAGAGGAGGGAGAGGGAAAGGCATTGGGACAGGTAGGTGCAAAGAGCTCTTCCAAGTCTAGTGATGTCTGTGAGGCTTGTGGGGTAAAAAAATAAAACAATTGGCATTTTTATACCAGCAGAGTGAAATGCAACTCATTCTCACAAACAAGTCAATATAGTTTATTTCATTTATGGCAGTAGTAACAAGCTGTGTCAGCATAAGCAGTCTTGCTGTGTAAGCTGTATCTGTCCTGTGGGGGTTCATTAACTTTCTCTGCTATAGACCAAGCCTTTTAGAGGATCTTCTTGCTTACTTACTGGCAACGCACAAAAATGAGAGAGACATTAGTAACTTCAAATTTTCATCTGATTAATAAGTTCTATATTCATCCCTTTGGAATGTTGTGGCTATTCCAGCATTGCTGCAGATACTGATGAAACCCCCTGATATGGAGGTGGCTTTTAGGCAAAAATCAAACCACACTATGATAGCTTGCTTTTTTTACAGCAGAAAATGTTCATCCTGTCAGAAGTTCTGCAGCTTTTACTGTCCCATATGAAAGCCTTTGTCTGTTTTATGCCATGTCTAATCAAAGGAAAATCTTTCCATAGTGGAAAATACCAAAATTCTATTGCTGGTCATATCTTGAAGACACAAGTGCTGTTAGAGAGGCAAAACCATCTCAACTCTGTAATACTGAAATCTTAAGAAAATGCTGGAAAACCTACAGGATGCTGTGCAATTAAATTAGGAGACTACTATAAAGGTACCTCTGTTTATTACACATATTTTTAATTTCATGATCTCATTTTAGAGTCAAGTACAAAGTCGTGCCCAACAGGATAGAAGGAAACTTGTCTATCAGCTTACCTGGGTTTATCAGGTCCAGAGGATGAGTCCTTAGCATTGCTGGTGAGAGGAGCATTTCACAGGAGTCTGTGGTCATCCAGCATATTTTTTCATTTAACCAGATATATTTAATAAGAAAGTGAAGCAGCACATTCCTCTTGTAATGAAACATTTTTCAATCCACAGGCTCCTGGCATTTAGTCATTTGAAAAGCTAATAACCTTTGAAATGTCCCCATTCATAAGGAAAATTATTATATTTTCTGAAAAAATAGGTTTTCAGATATGTTTTCCATATTAAATACTAGGATTTGGTAGAGAAAACTGGATTCATTTTTATATTTTTAAATTGTGATTCCTCTGTAAAGGTCTCAATTCTGTAATAACATTTGAGTTTTATAGATTTTTAATGTTGCCACTTAGGAACTGTGCAAGCCCCACATCTGGAAAAAATCCGCATCATCTGTAATCATGGTAATCCTTTAGGTTAATTTTGTTTACTCCTGACAGAAAGCCAAATTTTAATATATTTAATTATACCGCACTTCTTTTATTGTGAACATTAGGAAAAAAACCCACAATTTAAGCTTCAAGGGTCATGCTTGTACTCTCAGTAAACCAGCTGTTCTTCTCTTGTAGGCAATCATGGTAGATCTCACTAATAGCAATATTTTTGGAGTTATATTGAAAAGTAATAAAATGCTGAAACCTGCTAACTCTGTTATGATTAATTCAGAATGGCATCCAATCTTTCAACATTTAATTGATCCTAGTTTTGAGTGAAAGGAGATTTTGGGCATTCAGTTAACTTCTGGAACTGGAAATAGCCATCAGTAGCACTCTAATGCCAGAGTTGTGCCCAGGTAACTGCTTTTGCTTCAGTTTTTTCAGGCAGTACTGGGTAAAATTACTGCAAAAAATCAGTCATAAAGTGCTTTTTCTCCTGCTGGGTGAGTAGTGGGGTGAGCATAACAGTTATTTTACTTTGTTTTTCTAGTTTGGAAGATTTTCATTCATGAAGGCCCATAGAGATGTCTGTGCAGTTAAACCATTCTGGTAATGCCAACCCCAACCCCAACAAAGCCGTTGTGGGGAGCCTGTGTGTGCAGGGGGTTCTAGAATACCTCGCTGCATAAGGCAGGCCTGTGACCACAGCAGAGCTCTCTAGCTGCAGCAGGAGAGTGAAATCAGCATCAAGTCCTTTAACTTGTCAAAATCCACAAATACAGCAAGAGGGTAGCATAGATTCTTTGCTAACTGGGAAGAGAAACCTTGTACCACAGTTTACAGTGGCCAGATTTTGCATTTGAGAGAGACACTCTCTTTGGGTTCAGGATAGATACACCTCTTAATTTTATGCCCTTTTGTGTGATTGTGATCAGATGGTGGTACCTCTCTGTCCTTGGATAATTCAGCACTTTGAACTTGTGATAGAAAGTTTAAGAGTTCTGCACATCAAAAACTAACTGTTGTCTACTATGTTTTGCACATCTAATCAAGGTAAGTAATAGAGGAGTTTTAAGGATTATGGCCATCTAGACATACAGCAAAAATACATGGAGAAGAGTTAAAGAAACTCAGCTGTAATGAGATAGTGTTTTTTAGATTTTTTTTTTTTTTTTTTTTTTTAATAAGCTGTGCTGGTTGAAGGTAAGCCAGCAGGAGAAGTCAACCCCACACAAATACCTTGCAAGAGATTTCAAGTCAAAGTCAAAATTTAAGAGAAAGATTACAATAAATGCAATGAATACAGAAAACTTGTTTAAAACTACAGGATACAACCTAGCCCCTGTGAGTCAGGGTAGTGGACTCAGTCCAATTTAAGTGGTGGTTGCAGTGCTGTTGAGAGATGATTGCAGTCTTGTCAAAAGAGGTGGTACTGTGGAAAGTCTGGTCCCGCTCCAGATGTTCAGTGGTGGTGGTGTCCTGAGCCTCAGATTATATACAGACAGGAATGTTTGTTACATATCCCAGGGTGGGCATTTTCCCAGATGTAATCCTATGAGTCATAGAATATTCTGGGGAGTCCTTGATGTCTCATTGGCAGAGATGATCCCCCTTAAAGATCATCATGTGAAGACAAAGATTATACCCAGCTCATACGTGAGATGTGCATAGGACATCTTCTGCCAATGACCCACTGTCAACAGTTTATCAGGAATAATGTAGATGGGTGTGGAATACATACTTTGGCAACACTAATATTGATAGTGTTTCTCCTGTAACCACAACGTGAGGTAACAAAACATTTTACAAGGGGAAAGTGGTATTGGTTAGATCATAGAGTGCATCTCACATTTTCACCCTCATGTCATCAAGGAAAAAGAGTTCTAATTTTAATTTCTTTAGCTCTGGGTGTAAGTTGTGTATTACTCTCTGGCCAGTAGCTAAGAGTTAAGGTAGGTGACAGTAAAGGGCTTTTCATCAGTAGACCTATGTCCTTCCTGCATAGCAACAGGTGTTGTAGAGAAGAATAGTAATAAATCTAGAGCTGTGAGGGTTTTTTGTTTTTTTTTCTCTAAAATATCCAAAATCTGTACTTACTATAGAATAAGTTTAGTTGAAGGTCTGGAATGAAGAGAAGCACTTGAGTATTTTGTGTATATTACCGTCAAATTAAAAAATTGCTGTTGCCCTGCCTTCCATAGCTATGCCATGTAAGACTGCAGAGCTTTTGCTTTCTGACACTAGCACTGATGTTAGTGAAGCTTCTTTCCACACTGAATTGCTTTTCTGGAGGTGATCTTTTGCAGTTAGAGGTGGTACCTCTGATACTGTAGTGCTCAAACCCGTATTGACCATACACCCTATATTTTCCATCTAGTGCTTTACCTCCATGAGGCTGGCCAGTCTGTTCCACACTAAGGAACAGTGAAGCAGAACAGCAGGATGCTGTCTTGTACAGAGGTGCTGCTGTGGAAAAAAAAAAAAAAAACCAAAAAAAACCCCCAAAAAAACCCAACAACAACAACAACAAAAAAATCAATCAGGGTCTGGATTACTTTACTGTCTTGCAAAGTAGATTAAATAATCCAGAATAATTTTTATGAATTAGCAATTTTCAAGCAGTAGTGTAGCTTAATCTCTCCCTCTTTACTCTTGTAAATTAGACTAGCAGATTTTGTCTTCAGCTTCAAATAATTTTCAAAACATTATTTTTGTGTTCTACTATTTGCATATAGCCAACAAAATAAACAATTGTAGTAAATTGTGTCATAGTGTTTGGTATGGGTACCAAATGAAAGCAATCTCCTTTTGTAATATTTGGTAAATATTACTGACTTTTACTTTGGGAGTCTGAAAAGCTCCATCTCAATCAGTTGTTAGCTATCAGTGGTGTGTGTATTGCTTCATTTGTTTTTTACTGGTTATTGCTATTAACAAAGCTGGCTCACATTTCCTTTTGTCCAATGTTATAACCTTATGACTTAAAAGTAAAATTTGGTATCAAGCTGCAGTAAAAATATGGAAGTGTAATTGAACATATCCAGGCAGTGCTAGTCTGTTTAATATTCAAAGTATGGTGCTAGCTTTTGACCTTCTCATTTTCCTGCTAAGTATTAGTGATCTGAAGGTTCCCAGCTGAGTGTTTCCCCATATCTCCAATCTAAATCACATTAGGGAGGAATCCACAAAGCTGTGCGCCCACAACAGACTTAAGTGGTTTTGCCATATGAGGAGAAAATAAAAGAAAATGAAGGATTTGTTTCACTCCATGTGTATGCACCAAGATATGGGACACGTTTTCACCATCTTCTCAAGGGAAGATGAAGGGACAAAAAGACAGCAGTTTGCCATATTGTTGTACTTGTGGAACTACAATTAGTGCAGCAGGATGAGAGTTGAAAGGCGGCTCCTGAAATATGCTTGTGATTTCTTAGGGACTCCATAGATACTAGGTTACCAGCACATGCTGTTTAGCCACCTTGGCAGGACTGACACAAATGTCAGTTTTTTATGGAAGCAAGTAGACAAAAAAGGGTAGGAAAAGGCAAATGTCTGGACAGGGAAATGTGCTGGAGAGAAAGAGAAGGTGAAGATCTGGCTGCTGCAGGAATTCACAGGGGAATTTTTATGCAAGATGTTTGTCAATGAGGATGGTAGGCTTATGGCTACAGGCATTCTTGTAACCTGAAAAGCTTTTGTGTTTAGTAATTGGAGACTTTTAAATTTTCTCAATGCAGAAAATCATAACACATAAATACCTACCCAAAACATAAGCTTTCATGAGATTTTAGCTTCACTGGACTTCCAGCCCTTTGTGATACCACCAGGCAAATTTGCAAGGTGATAGCACAGCCTCCAGCAACTCTCTGCTCCCCACCTCGAGGAGAATTTATAAACAAGGCAACTGACATGGTGAGTAAAGAATGTCAGGACATCAGATCACTTTTCCTGACACCTGGCTCTTTGAGGCTGATTCCAGCAAAGTGATTATTTATGTATATCTGCAGCATGATTGGCATTTCTTCTTGTGAAACCTTAGGATATGCAAGTCATAATAAATGTGAGTGACAGATCTGAATTATGAAAGAAGCCAGAAATATTTCAGAGGGATGCAAGGAAATATTTTTTAAAATGCAAGATATATTTTGTATAAGAGACTGAAAATATTTTAGTGTTTAGGATAATAATTTCTCTTAATAAATTAATGCATTGCTTGACAACCAGTCTTTGCACTCAGATAGCTTGGAAATTATTCAGAGGAATCAAAATAATCTTATAAGTACTCATTTATTCATAAGCCTCTCATTTGGGTGATTCCCTCTGCCACCCCCCTTCTTTCAGTCTGTGGCAGATGAAACTGTTCAAGGTTTCATATTGCAGTGAACACTATCACCAAGAAACAGACAATTGATAAGAGGTTACCTGGGAAACCCTGTACCCACTGATTTTCATTTTGCTGCATTATGTACTTGTAGGTGTAGCTATTTTCAGCCAAAATTCTTCCCGTGGAATCAATGCAGTGATGGGGAAATTACTTTTTATTTTCTAAAGAATTTAATCTTAGTTTCTCATTTGATTTTTGATAATCTCTAACAACAGGGGTGTTTCGTGTGTGTGTGTGGGTGGTGAAGTGGTGGAGGTTTTTTTGGAAACTACTTGTGGCAATAGAAATTCTGCTTGAGAAAGCAATATGGAAATAAACTGCTTTAAATGCAGTTCACGTACAAAACATAGTCTCCCTGCCAATGGAAAAACCCCACCAGCTCTCAAGAGAGCCCTGCTCCGATCAGTCTGAGTCGACTATTCCTTCAGCTTTAATAATTCAAAAGGCAGACTCCCTGTCTGCCTTACAGGGAGTTTTCCTCTTGCCTGGAAGACACATGATACTGACTTGGGAGATCCCCAGTTTGCTGCTTGTATTTTTAATGATAGGTTTTTAATGATAGGTTTGTTCTTGACACTATCTTCTTAAGGAAAAAAAAAAAATCATCTTTTTCTTTTTAGTAGGAAAATTTGTATGGAATCTAAGAGATTTACATGGCCTTTCACTCTCCAGTTACTTGGGGTTTTTCCCCTCAGTACGGGAAAAAATTCAAGGTAAAATATTTAACTTAAGCTAACAGTGGAAGAGTAATTAAATCATGATTAGCCTGTTTCACCTGACATGGTATTCTGAGCATCTTAATACCCTTGTGTATTAAGTTAGTGCCCAAATACTTTGAGCCCTAACTATTTTCTTGATACAAGGTTTGATGCTACGGTACTAACAAAGAAATAAATTAAAACCTGATTCTGTGTTCTGCATATCCACTATGCAATTTGATGAGTTCTCTATGTGTGTGTTCCTCTAGTGGTGTTGGCAATACTTTGCTGACTTTATTGCTGCAAGGTTTTAGCTCTGAAAACCATAGTACTAATGGTGAAATCCCAGGAAGCCCTGCAGTCTATGGCCTCTGCCCTACTGTCAGGATGGGTCTCCCTAGCCTGGCTGAGATAAGTAAGGGCAGTAAAAATCTCCAAGAGAAGTGGCCATTGGTCATGGGCACAGCATCTTTCCCTCTAGAAGGGAATTAAGTCTGACAGACAGATCAAAGTAGGAAAAAAGGTTGTAGTAGTGGTGGTGGAGGAGCTCTTCATCTATCAAACTGATTTTAGTAGGTCAGTGTCCTTCTGGAACTGCTATAGGGAGGAGGTTTTCAAGGGCTTAATCACGGCATTGGTGCACAGCCTCCTGGTGCAGTCCATGTGCGCTTTGTGCGGGCTGTTTCCACCTGGCAATGGGAGAAGTGCCTGAATCCCCACAACACCTGTATGTTAACAGCAGGGCTTGAATATGTGGGGCAGGAGGGAACAACTGAACTCTGTGCTCACATAGAATTTCTTCACCTGCCTCGCTCACAGAGCAGCAGCAGAGCAGTTCAGCTTTCAAAGCAGCCTTGGATGGTGGGGTGGGGAAATGGGATCAGCCGAGGTCTGAGCAGGGACTTGTTTCTGCAGGTTATCATGCTTCTATGTGCTGTCCTGCATCTGCAATGCTCTCTCATGCCAGTTGGGGCTCTGATAAAGCATCATTCTGACTGCACACCCTTGAAAATTTTCCACCTGGGAAATAGCTGTCAAGTTGTCCCAGATTGAGAAGCAGAATGTTTTCTATTGCCATCTGTGTAGCAGTTGCCTCTGGGCAGTTTTCCTTATCTCCTATTAATGGGCCCATCAGTGTCTCCCCACATGACTCAGAGATAACTCCCTCCAGGAGCCAGTTCTGTTCAGCAGGTGAGCAAGGACTCACCACGACTCAGAATGACATCAGCCCATTGTGAGATGCTCTGCCCAGTGGGGAGGAGCTAAGCATCCCCACCTAGATGTATTCTGGGATTTTTAGACAGAGAAGCAACCTTCCCACAGGCTCCCAAGATGACACAGCTGGAGTTTCCACTGGACCGACTACACCTTTTCTACAGGACCACTGCACAAACAGAAACCACATCTGCCACTCGAGGAGGGTTGCAGCCACTCCAATTTGGACTGCTACCAACACACTGGCCAAAGGGGTGTCACTGTGTTGTATTCTGACTTTGTCAGTGGTCTTCCTTTTGTATAATTGCATGTATTTTGTTTCTTTTCCCTTTCCCCAATTAATTGTATTTCTGACTTGGAGTCTCTCACTGGTTTTAAACCAGAACTCAAGTGAATTCAGAGCAATGAATTGCTTTTCTTAGTTGTTTTTCATGTACACAGTGAGAGTGATATTCATACCTTCAGGTAACCGTGGACCAGTGTGGTGGCTGAAAGCTGCTGAAACACAGTGTGACAGAAGGCCATTCCAGAAATGAGGACATCTGTCTTCATTCTCTTTGTGGAGCCAATCTGCCAGTGGGATCGAACAATATACTAGTAAGTGCAGTACATCAAAAGGAGAACTGGGTTATTTCAACTTTTTTTCCTCTCTTTTCTTTCTTGTGCACTTTTCTTTTTCTTCCTGTAAAACCTAATTCCTTCTCCTAAGACTGCATTTCTGCCAAGCACTCACTTCCCTTTCCGCCAAAGGTTGAAGAGAATCCAACCTCAACTTTTATATCAGTTACTTTTATATCTGTTACTTTTATATCAGATGAGTAGTAAAAGCAAAGTATTTATATTTCAAAAAGCAAACAGCACAGAATGTAAATACAGCTGACTGTCAAATTCACTTCTGTTGCTATGCAGAGATTTTGATTCAAGGTTATGCAGTTCCAAATACTTCACTAAAAGAAGTGATACTTTTAGTTATTTCAAGTCCTTGTTTTCACATAGCTGTTACTTCTGTTTATCCAATTTTTTAACATACATTTTCCGCCATAGGTGTATATTTGATTTCTTCTTGGCAATGATGCAATGCTAAGATTTGGTTTCCATACAAATATATTACGTCTTCCAGGAGAATTTCAAATTGCTAGCAACATTGCTTAAGCGCTGAAATTCATTTAGTAAGACAGATTTATTGGAGCAGTACTTAATTAGTTAACATAATGTATAACCCAGAGTTTGATATTGCCTTCTGCCCTCTCAGCTTTACCAATATAAAGTAGATTAGCTTGACCATGCAATAAGCTATGCCTGCAATTTCCTCTTTTATGGGGAGGTTAAATGAAACACAACAGAACAGTTGTGCTGACTGCTCATAAAGCATGTTTGTCTGGACAAAATAGAAGTCTTTTTTTTTCCATACCTGTACCCTACTTCAATGACACTTTTTTTTTTGATACCTCTTATTTTACATGCTGTATGTTTTCAATGTACATTTCCAGTTAAGTATATTACTGCCTACTATATTACTAGTTAAAAAGTAACTGGGTTATGGCAAATTGTTTTTACTTGAAGTGTTCTGCTTTCTCTTAATAAAATATATGTGATTAGGTTTTGCATTATTTAGTACTCTCTTGGTCTTATTTCTCCAAAGCAGAATGTCACCTTAATTTTCATACTTCCTGTCAGAAGTGACAATACTTTGCTATGGGTAAAAAATGTCAGCTAAGAATACAAATGGTAGAGAAAAGTAGAAAACTTTAAAATACTGAGTTTTGAAAAACACAAAAAAGAGAGTAGGAGATGACATATAAGAGGATACAAAATCCAAGATAAGAGTATAAGGGCAGCTATTTCTTCAGTGCTTAGTAGTTTTTCCTTAGTATAATAAGAACTGAAGCACTTCTGCTGTTCCCGAGATAGATAGTGGCTTAGACATTGCATCAGGTCATGCTATTTTACCCTATACTAGTAGTCTGCCTTGGGTTTGGGACCCAGCAAGCCTAATTTTTTCTTGAATGTGGAAGAATGCATTGCCAATATATAACCTGATTCTGGCTGTCATAGTGTAACTTGGATAAACTTTTGAGCATCTGAAAAGGAGATGAGGGTCTTTGCTGCTACTTCTGAAGCTGGACCAGAAATTCAAGGGAAGTCTTTTGCTCTGTGAATTAGTTATTGAGATACCAGGAAATGAGGCCCACCTGAAAATAATTTGTATTTAGTAAGGCTTTCTAACTTCAAACTGCCTACAAATGTATTTTGTGCTAAGACTTGAGACTTGCACACTGATGGGAATACTGCACATCTAATGAAAACAGACAGCAAACATTTGTAAAAATCGAATACTGCCGTCTTCTATCCCTTATGTTCCTCAACAACACCCCCTAATCTTGTCTCCACCTCATCACTCTGAAGCACCGTTCAACCGTAGAAAAGAGGTCAAGAAGACATCCAAAGTCAATTAGAGGTGTCTTTCTCTTAGCATGTGTCCCATTGTCCTGAGCTACCTCCAACTATGAGCAGCTGGTGTCAGAACTTCCTAAAGGTGCAAATTGTCAAAGGTTGGTCCTGCCAGTGCATCTCACTTAAGTCTCTGATTTTGCACACCTCTCTACTGTAGGTCTTCCCACTAGGGTTTTTACACTGCTGCTGAGAATAATTCTGTTTATCTTCAATCCAGTTTCACCCAGCTGAGACTAGTTTCCATCTCTTTCCTTGGCCTCCACCATTACCTCTTAATGGTCTTCATGACAGTCCTATCTGTCAACCCTTATGCTGGGACCTGAGATTCATCTTCTTCCCTAAGAAGACAAGTGAATTTTCTCACTTTCCAATAGCTCCTAGAGGGCTGTTGGGCCTTAGGCCCTTAGGCAACAAACCTGCAACAACAGGCATTGGGAAGCCCAAATAATTAATGATCCATGAGCCTTTACTCTTAGCTGATTGTCAAGCTGCTTAAGCCTCTTAGTACTCTCTAGCTTGTTTTTATTTTTAGAAGAATTATAGCAATGTGCTTGCTCAACTATGGCTAAGATGATATTGGTTTAAAAGTCAAAAAACTAAGATCTTGGACATCCACACAGTGGTTCATATTGTCTCAAAATTTGCTATTTGTCTGGTGACAAGGCAATTATCAATTTGGATACTTTGAAGCTTGCAACCTGCCCAGAACATGGTCACCACAATGCTCCAGTTCCTCTTGCTTTGCACGCACAGTGGAGGTGAAACTGCTGTTTCACTTCTCTTCAAGGGGATCTGTTTTACTGGAGATCTACCTAGTGTCTGGTAAAACAGCAGAAACTTCTGCTTTGGCAAAAAAAGCACAGTAAATGTAATGAAGGATGAAATATGTCACATCAATAAGGATGAGAAAAACAGTGGAATGAGAGACAGGAATGGATATGTGCAGCAAAATTACATCAGCAGGTTTTGTTGACAGCATCTTACTGCAGACCTGAGCATCTGTAGACAACTTGTCTGTAATTTCAGAATCTCAGCTACATTTGTTCTTTATGTATTTATAACTTACAATAACAACTTTCTGCATATGTGTGTGGGGAACTGCTCAAAATGAGACCAGTGCTTTTAGGCTGAAAATTCGAACATACTCTACAGACCACAGGCTCACCCTGATTACATGTTAGGAGGAAATGGGCACTGTCAGTGACTCCACACCTGAATGGTGAGGGTATTTATTGTGGCCCATGCTTTTGTATTGCCTGTGATATGAACATCGCAGGAGCGGTAGTTCAGTATTATCCAGTTCTTTCTGACTCAGCAGAGAAAGAAGCTACTGCAAGCATGATAATTTGCAGCTCTTGCAACTAGTTCCAAGCTATTTTCCAATCTTGCTCATAGGAACTTTTCTTTTAATGTAACAAATGAGTGGAAGACGACAGGTTAAGCTGGTTTAAATTCTTTTTCATATGTGTTTTCTAAGTAGGTCAACTGAAATCATATTTCTTTCATCAGATGAGGATCTTCCCATTCCATAGTAGAGCTAAATAAAAAAAGACATCTTTCCTCCATCACTTTCTTATAAGAGTAGATAAAATGAAGAGTATTCATTTAAATTTATTCTTTAATCTTAGCAGATACTTCAAAGAGGCTGCATCTATTACTGATATAAAATTCAGAAAAAATACAAATCAAATGCATCTCACTTTGCAACTGCTGCTAAATCACACTGAAGTTGGGGGAGCACTGTAAAATAGTAAATGTTTGTTTCAAATGCAAAGCACAAGTCAGTCTGGTTGCCAGACTCCTTCTCACCTGACCGTGATAATATTTTTTTTTCTTTATCCCCTCACATCAACTGCAATAGTAACAAAAATTAAGGGACATCAAAATGGTAGAAAGAAAACCACCTATTCCAGATAGAGCAAAATCAACTTGATTGATGATGTCCTTGCGCTAGAGGCAATGCAAACCCATTTGCAATGAAGAACAGAAAACTGAATGAGTGTGGTGCATCCCCTGTGTTGTCCGAACAGCTTGTTGCAAGACAGTTTAGAGAAAAACAACTGACTAGGTGCAGGAAAAACAATCTGGGACTTGGGAACAGCCGTTATTGTCCATTTAGCTGCTAGTACCAGTCTTTTCTTGTTAAAAGAGGCTTTTCCTGGAGTCCTGCACAAACAGGAGTTTTCCCTTTGAAACCTAAACTAAGTTATGAGATGAATTAAAAAAAAAAAAAAACACCTTATTTTTCTTTACTTTCAAACAATGCTGTACTTCAGTGTTTGAGTTATGTTGATGTTTGGCAATGATCAGCTTTCATATAAATAGTTCATATTGACACATGATCAGATGTTGCAATGGGTGGAAAAAAAAGCATGCTGCTCTTTTTTTTCTTTTTTGCTTTTACAGTCCTGGCAGTCAATGACCTTAATAGCCTGGACTTTAATTATGTTCTCAGGAGCAAAGACTTGGTTTTCCATTACTTTTAAATTTCACAAGGTATCTCCCCAAATTGTATCCTCGTCAAACCTGTTAATTACCTGTTAATATTTTTTGCTGTCATTCTTGTACAATTTTTTTTCAGCAGCTGTTTGCTTCCAAGGCTCAGGGAATCCTCATCTATTTATCTTTTCTTACTTGAGGAGCTGTTCTAGTACACTGATCAGCTACACCACCTTTTGCTGTATCTCTTTGTTATAGGCAAAAATTAGTCCAGCCAAATTAAAAAATAAGAAATAATTTTATTTAGCGATCAAATTCTATCTGAGCCAGACACAAAGAAAGGGCTGTGCCAAGCCCAGGTTCAGTGCTGGGTGAGACAGAGGTGTGACCACTACAGCATAGGGTCCCCTATATTTCACACTGACTGTCCTGCACCAGCGATTCTTATATGGTTTATTTTGCCCAAGGCCAGGATTTTGGTGCCCAGCCTTTTCTTTCCATTCAAAGTCTCACATATTCATAGAGTCTCTTTCCTCTGTGCTGAGTTGAACAAACCAGTGTCCAGGAAGCGACGTACATCCTTGATGGAGTTACAGGAACCCAGCCTTGACATGTATCTATCGGTGGTTCCAGCAATCTCAGTCTTGGGCTGTTGTTGGGATGATCATCCCAACAACATCGCCTGAGAGTTCCTAGATCACCTTGAGAAACAAGCCATCTCCAGATGGGCTACATGTATTAACCTGTAAATGAAGTCTTATCAGCTGTGGTTTCTACATATGTGGAGCATGGAGCAACCCCCTAGCTCTGGCTCGTATGCTTTATGCCAATAATTTTGGTAATATGAAACATTTCATACATATCATTCTATAGGAACAAATTATCCGTATCACACATAACACTCTTCAATTTCGGCAATATTCCTTTGAAAAGAAGATACATTTTTCTAATATTTTTTGAGATCATTATATCTCAAAATATATATAGTTATCATTATATATATATATATATATATATAATATAAATATATAAATTGTTATAGATAGATATACAGATATATAGTTATCATTATATATTATATGATATATGATACTACATATTATATGACATATTATTATATTATTTTTAATTAGATAAAGTTGCACAAAATATCTATATAGTAGCAGTATTGTTTTCCTGCTCTGTACTTGATATCTTCTCTTACACTTAACATTCTATTTGCCTTTTTGAGTAATGTTAAATATTAATGTTATGTTTACAAGGAACTGCCCCAAATGCTCTAAGCTTCTTCCTGACGTAATGGGTAAATTAAAAGATAAAGAGCTTCCTCGTTTTCCATTCATGGTAATTCACATTGATGGATGCAGAATTTCACCCATTGCTTTATTCCTACTAAATGCACTGGAGACAGTGCTATCCATCTTTAACTCATCTCAATTACTTTCTGTTCTGATTCATGAGAAAAAATTCTGTTACCAGTAGACCCCACAGTACAGCCTTACTTTTTTTTTCCTAGTAGCTGCTACAGTGCTGTGGTTTGGATTCAGTATGAGAATAATGTTGATAACACACTGAAGTTTTGGCTGTTGCTAATTGGTGCTTACCCTAAATCAAAGACTGCTCAGTGTGCCCATGTTCTGCCAGTGAGTAGGTGCATAAGAAACTGGGAGAGAGAACAGGCAGGACAGCTGACCTGAACTTACCAAACATAGAA